CCGGGCCCCGAGTTCTGGAGTTTAGGAGCCCAGTGCTAGATGAGGAGTTAAAATAAAAGCTCAAAAGCTATGGAACTAGTTTCCATATCAGAAACTTATTAAAAACAGGAAGTCATTCTCATGACTCGGTAGATGTAGGTAATGCCTGGGAATCAATGAGCTTCAGAAGTAAAGAATTTTTAAGTGATTTTATTTCAGAAGAGAGACTGGAAGATGATGTGTTTAAATAGCACTTTAAAAATTATTAAATATCTGAAGTTTTATCTTTTTCTTTAGGACAGAAATGAACCACAAACCTCTGATATAAACAGAAACTTTCCATAAGCAGGAAAATACATCCAAACTATCGCGGGCAATAAATCATCTGACAGTTTAGTCTCTTGTTGGTCTGAACGGTTAAAGGGCCGTTTCCATCCCAACCTGCACTAACAATCCATTTTCTATCAGTATTTTTGCACCAAAGATTTAATAAACACTGAGTTTCTTTAAATGTGTTTACATTTGAAATTCTAAATCGACATTTGTGACTCTATACAAATGTAACCGGGTGGTTTTATTGGAAGACATAGTTTACATCCAGTGGTTGTAAATTCCCACCGTGGTTTGGGCCCTTGAACACATCTAGGCCCCGTTCCCCACCGTCACTTCCGTTCACAGCCTTGTCGGGCTCATTAGCGTATATAGGCACCGGGTGTGCCCGCCAATCTGAGTGTGTTTGTTGGGTCCGTCGTTTGCGTTGGCTCTCAGGTCAGATGAGCGCCCTGCTCATCGCGTTGCTGTGAGTGTTCGGATCGTGGACATTTAATACTGATTGCTGCTGTTGCCTATTATGCTCCCACAAACAGTGCATAGCTCCTTATTTTTATTAGCGTATTGGGCACAGCCTTAGGACTGGGTTGGGGCAATGCGGGATTTGTTTTTCTTTTGTCTAACATTATTTTGTGTTTCTACTAATTTGGTTTGCATTTGTTTTGGTTCCAATTGCTTCTAGTCTTGTCCTGGGTTTTTGAGCCTTATTGAGTTTTAAATTAGAATAATAAAGTCTATTTTTAATACTGTAAAAGAATGTATAAATAAAATATATTTTGTATACTATTTCTGTGTCCTCATTCTCAGCCAGACCTACCTGGGTATAATTAATTGGGAAACTCTAGACCACTTGATATTTCAGTAGTCTACCAGTCGGCTTTAGGGCCACGTCCTCGGTCACAATCTGGGTTCTTTCCCCCCGTGTTACACAAAATAGACCAGCAAATATTGCAGTAAACTTATTACGAGGGAACGCAACAGGAAATGTTTCCCATGTCCCCTGCAGGGCTCCGTAGAAGGCTTTCTTACCCCCTTGTCCCTTAGTGGGGTCGGGAGAGGCGGGGGCACCTGGGTCACCTGGACAGGGCTCCAGTCTGTCGCAGGGCAACACAGAGACAGACACAAACAACCATACTCACAGACACACTCACACCTAATCTATAAAGTCCCTGTAGTTTAAAAATAATTCCGAAATATTGACTTTGTGTTTGTGGTTCTGACTCTGTGAGAAAGCTG